CAAATAGTAATTCTAAAGAGTTAGAATTAATTCACTAATCTAATTTAATTAGATGTCAATTTATGGAATATATTAAATTAATCAATTGGATTGATTAATTCAATTTTGGATATTAATTTAGTAATTAATGGAATTACTAATTAATAGTTGGAATTTAAAATTGGATTTTAAATTTCAAATCCAAATAATAATAAGATTATTAAATGAGGAAATTGGAAGAAACATTATAATAATAATATCTTGAAAAATTGTTTTCAAGAAATTATTATTTTATTTTATCTTTAATTTAATTAAAGATTAAAATATTGAGAAGACAAAATAATTTTCAGATTTATTATTTTATTCTTTAAATATGATTTAAAGATTAAAAATAATAAAAGGATTATAATAAATGGTGGTTAATTGAGATCAACAATTCTCTCGTGGAGAGCGATATTATTCTCTCGTGGAGAGCGATTTTTTTCCTCATCGTCACTTCGGTTCGATTGATCTGTTCATGTTTCTTTAATCTTCCTTTGCTGTTCATTTTGATTCTCATCAGCTCCTCTCTTATTATATTTTAGCATCTTCGTGGGGCTGGAGCGATTTGGCATTCTTTCTAGGGTTTATCGATTTTTTGGGGTTCCCAAATTTGGGGATTTCTAATCCTCTCACCTTCAATGGGATCTTCAGCGTGCATCGGCCAAGATGAAGAACTTTCGCAGCGTCTTCATGGTTTTTCGTTATCGGATCGAGAAGCCCCTATTATCGACATTGCTCAAGAAGATATTAAACCAAGTGCGGAAATTTGTGAACGAATTAAGTCTCTTTGGGAAAGTCATAGGGGATCGAAAGGCCAGCTGGGTTGGAATCAAGCAAGCTATGAGCAATATTTGGCGATTATCTCTGCCTATGGAGGTTAAGGAATTAGGGCACAACTTCTTCCAGTTTCTGTTCCAAAATAAAGAAGACAAGGAAAGAGTTGCAAAAGGCACAAACTGGAATTTTGACAATCAGTACCTCATATTAACCGAATGGTTTTATGGCCTCTCAATCAATCACCCCATATTCCAAGAGGTGAGTTTCTGGGTTCAAGTTTACAACATCCCTCTCAACTGGCTTAGCACAGCAGTGGGTCTGAAACTGGGGTCTGTCTTTAAGAAGCTCAAAAATGTAGTTGTGGTGGGTGCTGGGAGTCATGGAGGGCACATTCTTCGTCTTCTAGTCTCCATTAACATCTCAGAACCAATCCCACGATGCGCAACCATCAGGCTGGGGGATTGGCTCAGCACTGTCAGCTTTAAGTATGAAAAACTCGTAAGTATGTGCCATTATTGTGGTGTTATAGGACATCTGGAAAGGAATTGTGACAAAAGACAACAAGACATCATTTCGAAATATCTAAAAGAAGGACAATATGGAGATTGGCTGAGAGCTCCGGAATGTCAGAACTTTGCATCTTTGAATTTATCAGACTCTAGAAGCCCTTCATCCACCAATCCTACCACTCCAGCCCAACAGTCTCCATTGAAATCGTCTAGAAGCCAGGCCGAAGGGAGTAATCAAATTATGTTGATGCAAGGTGAATCTTCTCATCCTCGACACCTGGAAGCTGAAGTCTCCACTTCCTTTTGTGGGAATGATAGAGCCTCCAAACCACCTACCACCGATTTAATCCAAGCTGAAGGTAACAATAGAGAGCTAGTTTTGCAAGAATCATCTCCTCTCAACCCTCTGAATGCAGCTGAGGTGGAAACTTCCAAGAATATGGAGATTGAAGCAGTCTTAGTTGATGCTACTACTTCCTCTGATCCACCAACTTTCAAACTTTGCCTCACTTCTCCCGCAGTTAGTGGACCTACTAAAACCTGGAAAAGAGACAGAACCAAGGATGGAAGACTTCAAAGGGAACCAGTACTCCCCATCCTCATTGACAAAGAAATACCAGTTAAAAGGCAAAAGAATGAAGAAGAGTCTCCGTCTCATCAGCAAGGTGACCAGGTTGCAGGTCAGTCTGACAATAAGAAATCGAAATTGAATTCTGGAAAGGTGGAGGTTGCCAGCCTTGAATGGCACCCAAATGCCCAATGCTAGCTGCGGTGTGGAATTGTAGAGGGCTGGGTGGGCCCTCTACAATTTCCCAAATCAGAGAGT